GAATTTGGATTTAAAAGACTGAAACAATTGAAAGTTTATCGCTTTAAATTTTGAACCAAAAAAAAAGAATTAATTGAAGCATTTCTGATAAACACAAAATAGAAGGAGCTAAACAGGCAAGAAAAAAATAAGAGGAACTTACAGCTCAGATCGAAGCCACTTAACTGACATTTCCGATCTAAAAAAAAAAGAAACGTTGCCCAATAAAAAGAAATTTTACTGCAAAAGTGTTGAGAAAATACCAAATCAATCGAATGAATGATTTTCGTTTTAAAAAACACTAAAACTAAAAACTCTCTGTGTACATTTTTTACGGGAGAACCGATGAGCTGGCAATCCGTACAGGAGATAAAATGCATGCCCCATTACTTTCCAACACTACTAGCTGCTGAGATGCGACATGTCAGCAAGCCAAGCAACATGCTCTGCTCAACGAATGCTGTTTTTTCGACAGCCTGTGACTGCGCAGCTTCCATCTCCATCTAACGCTGTGCGCATGTGATTGGCGTCTTTAGCAGATGGATTCAGTACAAGCTACCTGACAAAATAATTGGCACTAAGAAGCATCGCCCGAGGCACGCTTTACGAAGCGGTTGTCGTTTCCTGTCCGGCAGGAAGCAGTCTTCGTCGAATGCACAAATATAACAATGCAGTGCCTGAACATTCCAGAAAAAAATTATTAAAATGACTGTTCTTTAAAACTATTATCGTTACAGTACAATACTCAGTAATTCAGAACGGTACTGATGTCGAAAAAAAAAAAGCAAAAGGCTGCCACGACGCTCACTTCTTGCGCTCAGCAACGGAGAACACTCAAAGAGCTACGGAACAACGAAAGTATTCTGTAGATTGCGCATGTAGAGAACTGAGTTGCCGCCAAATCAAAACATGTCATGAAAAATAGCATGACTGGTCCTGTGGCGAAAACGAGAGATAACAGACAGACAAAGTGAAAGTTATTAAATAGCAGAAACTTGCTGAGTTTAAAAATTTAAATAGCGTCTACCAAAATTTAAAATTTTAACAAAAAACTTCGAAAAAAAGAAGCTTACAACTAAAACTCTGCTCATGCGTTTGATGATTTTATCTTTTTCCGCATCATCTCGTTCGCCATTGATGAGCTCGTCGTGATTTGATTTTAACACTGTAAAGCTGAAAAAACAGGAGAAATTGCAAAGTGTGAAGCAGTGCTTTAAGATGACCAAGAGGAAAATAGACCACAGATTACACAAATACCACATTTACGTTAACAAAGCAAACTTTCAAAACCCACGGTAAATTTTTTCCTGACAATGTGCATGTAAATTACGGCCAGTAAAAGAAGTATTAGTGAATAAGGTAAGTTCTGACTCCGAGGAACAAGGAAAGCGACGGGCTAAAAATCAGCGGGAGAAAATTAAAGTCCAAGACCAGTTAACAAAACTCCTCAAAAACTAAATTTTTTTCTTTCACACAAATTTACAAC